GGAGGCAGCTCGACCTCCTCTGGAGGGGGAGCACTGGGGTTTGTCTGTAATGATGACACATTTTTTGAGAGGGGGCAAGCCAGCAGATTTGGTAAGCAGTTGTTCTAAAAACAAAACCAAATGGTCCTTGGCAGCAGTGGATTGCCATGGAGCAAAAGTTGGAGAGGCTCCTTGACCTGGTTGTAAGGGCCCTAAAAAGGCAGGGCACAAGGTTCCAGATTGTGAAGGTCTCAGGGGAGATAACTTCTCCTCTTTTCTCTCCAGGGGTTATTTCTGACATGCTCCCAAAGCTGCATATTTAAAGTCCCCACCTGCAGGCACCAAGCATTGTATTTAACTGTTTCCTGGAGCATCCTAACAATGTTGCTGGATGGCATTGTGCATTTTGCTTGTTTAAGAAGGGTGTGGAGCAACTGGGTGTACTATTGCTCTTTGGCCGAAAGTGAATACCTCATGTTTTAAACCCAGGTGATTTCCTTCTCTTGTCGAAAGCACTTATCTGCTCCTCAGTCAGGCATCCCCAAAATTGTCACTCGAGGGCCAAATGTCATCAAAACACCACGCCACTCTGAACAGCTTTTACCAAGCAGGTGATCCCTTGCGGGTTCAAGCTCCACATTGGGTGCCAGTTATAGGAGATCCCTGCAGTCCACCCCAATCTCCAGTTCGGTACTACAATACAAGGTGAGAAGAAAGACTCGGAGACGGACTTGAGATACAGGGAACTGGAGTGGTGAAGCTGAGCAAGCAGCAAAGACCCTGAGCAGGCAGAACTGCTGATATTTATTGGTGACAAAATCATTGATTAAATTGGGGTGAGGAGGCTACATGTGGCTGCTAGGGATAAGTTGCTGACACAGACAAGGCTTGTAAAAGAAGAGACAAAGTATTTTTGTGTTAGGAACAGAGCAACCAGATATAGGTTGTGCTTAATGATTAACCTTGTCTTTTTAGTTAAGAAGGTTTTAATTCTGGGAACAGAATTTTGGCAAGAGTCACTCTGACCTTGGCTGCCATGTTATTCCATTTTAAGCCTCACAGCTTCCTGGGCTGTTTCTGCCTCTGCCATGGTCATTGTTGGAGAGGCTGATACTGAGCTGTGCACCATCCTCAATGTTCCTATAAGTCATGTAGGCATTGGCCAGACTCACTTCTTTAAACAAGCCAATTGTGGGATTAACTCTTTACAGCCTGGACTGCTTACAGCCTGCTTTGGAGATAATCAACAGGTCAGTCTTCCACAATAAACCTTTTCACAACATACTTGAGCCTTTTAATTTTGCTGGTAGTTCTCTCTTTGCAAGAACTTTATCATACAAAATGGGGGGCTGGGGATTTAGCTCAGTGGTTCTGGCACCTGCCTCCCAAGCACAAGGTCCCGAGTTCGATCCCCAGTACCAAAAAAAAAAAATGCTATCTGTATCATACAAAATCTTCTCACATAAAAATATATTTTTATACTTATAGCTTTCGCTATAATTTTTCTTTATCCTATTTATTGTAATATTTCTATAATAAACCTGGTAGTTGCTGTTTGGATTTTAAGGTGTCCCTTTAAAATTTTGACTGGCTGCTAATAAACCTTATCTTTACTGAAGCAGCAGAAGAGCATATAAATCCTGCAATTGTAGTCTAAGAATTTACAATGTATAAGAAATATTTTAAGCATATCAATTGAACAAAAATACCAGCTCAAATTGGAAGCCAAAAGTAAATCTATCAATCAGCTAAGATTTGTAATAAAGGGCTTTTGTAAACTTAAGAAGTGGCATTTATATCCAATAGACCATCTGGAGCAAAGTCTCAGGAAAAAACTTCTTTTCCCTATTCTTGTTTCCCTAGGCCTAGAATTTTATTTTTTTAGTTTTGTTTTGTCTCTGTGACTGAGTTTTTCTAACTCCCTCTAATGGAAGTTGTATGTGCAACCTGAGAGGTGCTTTACTGTACATTTAACCCCAATCTAGGGCACCTCAGTCACATATCTGGCTCCCCAAAATGTCCTGACCACCAAGAGATAAATACATAATCTAATTTCTTCTTTGGCTGTGCATGAGGTTGTCTGATCAACACAGGTATCTGCTTTATCTCACCCTCAGTCGGTTTTGCTGTCTTCAGAAAAACAGTCTTGGGTACTCTATGGCTTCTGTATGGAGATAGAATATCCAGGCAGAGCAGGCCACCCAAAAATGGGGCAGGACATATCTCCCTCTCCACCAGGACCTGGTCAACACAAGCATAGAATCTCCCAGATGAGCCCCCAATTATTAGAAATGAACTTGTTTAGACCCAAATTGGACTCCAGAGGTAGCAAAATCAAAGCTTTAATCCATACTCTTGCAAGAGTGGCACTCATACATACAGACAGGCACACCAGAAATGAGAAGCTTTGTGTTTTTATTCCTAACTGGTGTCTTTTTTTCCCATTATAGGACTTTTGGTCCCATATTCATCTTTACCTCTTGAGTTTTTAAATTTAATCAATAAAAAATTTTTAAGTTATTGCTTGCAGATCTAAATTAGCTCATTGTTAAGCTATGTGAACCACAAGCATTTGAGATAATGTCTTGTCTGAAAACCCTACACCGTTTTCCATGGAAATTTCAAAAAGAGCCAAAGGGGGGAAAAAAAGAAAAGAAAAGAAAAAGAAACTGAAAGAAACAAAACAGTCCAGGTGCTATAACCAATTATTAGCACAAATTGAACAGACATTTGGACAAACACACATAGGACAATTGCTTTTAAATTGGAGTGCACTCTCAGATATTTTTGCCATGGCATGCTTGAGCCTTTGTAAAAATATTGATAGGGGTTCCATTTTCCTGATACATTTGTCCCAGTTTGGCATAATTTACTGGCTTAACTTTTGTTGTCTTTAGCTCCCCACCCTCTTTTGTAAAACTGGACCATTTGGCATATGGTATTGTAATTAACCGCGCCCCCCCCCGCCCCCGCAACTCTGGCCACCTCTTTTGGTCCCCTAGGTGATTGGAGGCAGAATGGGGCTTTCAGAGGGAGCCAAAGGAGGAAGAGGAAGACTTTTTAGGGGAACCTCCTTTGTTTGAATAGATTGAATAGCGACCCTGCAAAGATGTCAGATAGCAAAGTCCACAGCCTTTATAGGACCTAATAGCTGTCTCAACTTTTGACCCACATGTTCCCAGTCCTCCACCTCCAGGCTGTCTTCCAGCAGGAACCAAGGACATTGTTGGTGGATAACAATTAGGAGTTCGATAAATTGAGGTTCAGTAACTTTATATTCAGATGTCTTTAAAAGACATCATAAATATTGCTTAAATTGCTTTTCCTCTTTGGGTAAAGTTTGATCCATACAGTATGCAAAGCAGAAGGACCAAAAGTAGAAGAACAAAAAGAAAAATAAACAGATTGCCCCCATCCCTTAGCAATTGAACAGTTAAAAGACCTCTGGGCTGATAAATCTAACCTACAACCTTGCTGCAAACCTGCCAGGCTTATCCATGGCTGTGTGTGTTCCCTTAGTGGGATGAAGAGTTGGATGTCCTTGTCTCTTTTCTAGGTTTAGAAAGTTTGTCCTCTGCGTTCAGTTGTACTAACATGAGCCTCACATGGGGCACCGCTTGTCACTGTGAGTGACCATGGCAATGCAGGAGATGAACAAATGACTCGGAGGGACTGTTCTATGGAGTGATCTCAGAATAAGAAAGCCTCCAGGAGCAGCCTAAATCTGAAGCTTCTGTGGCTTTTTATTGATAGGTCCAGGAAGTAAAGAAAAAAATATCCATACAGGGATCTGTGTTGAGGGGTAGGGAAGGAACAGGGAGCCAGCTACATGACAGACCTTAGAGCTAATCTAAATAATGTATCAGTCTGTGGGAAAGTCAAGGACCAGACCATACATTCTTTAAGGTAATGTCTTTTGATCCTACTTTAATTTTGTCCTGTGGGCTAGTCTATAATCTTTAACTATACATGCCAGGAAGTTTGGGCTGTTACTCCAAAGTTCCCTTTATCTCTGCACATCCATCTCATACTTATCTCTAGCCAAAGCCCCCACAGGTGAGGTACCTTATAAATAAAATAAGATATGAAGCATGGAAATACTTGGGCCCACCTAAACTAGAAGATACAATGAAGGAGTCAAATGCTTTACTTACTCATCATTCATCATGAATGAGACAACTATCAACAGGTTAATACAAGTGTGTTATCTTGGATACAAGGTAGTATTGCCAGTGATGATGTGACTTTGTGAATGGTCAACAAATACTAGTCAGATTCCAAAGAGCAAAGGATTTCTTTGTTTTACATAGAAGTTAGAGTTCTAGCAAATTAGGAAGGTCGGATACCATACCAAAAAAACCCCTCTCATATGTGTTTTTTTTTTTGGTATTGGGGATCGAACTCAGGTCCCTGTGCTTGCGCAGCAGGGAGCGAAACCACTGAGCTAAATCCCCGGCCCTAAAACCCCTCTCATATGTAAATAAATATATAGTTAGGTTTGAAACACAGTTAATTTTAAACATTTTGCTGTCATTGTTGTTTTAAATCTATATAAACATGTGGACAGAATATCCTAGGCTTTTATCTACTGAATATAAGTACTAACCAGGTGTGGTGGTGCAGGAGGATCACCGTGAGTTTGAGGCCAACATGGGCTACAAAGGCAGTTCAAGTCCACCCTGAAATACAGAATGAGATATATATATACACACACAAACACACACACACACACACACACACACACACACACACACACATAGTGTTCTTATCCATTATGACAAAAACAACAAAAAATACAATCTTTCCCCTTTAAAAAAAAAATGCCCCAAATCCAAGCATGGTGGAGCAATCCTGTAATCCCAGCACTTAGGAGGTGAAGTAAGGGAATCACAGTGAGTTCAAGGCCAGCCTGGGATACTAGTGAGTTCAAGGCCAGCCTAAACTACATAACAAGGCCTTATTTCAAAATGCAAAAAACAACAACAAATAAAAGTTCAAAATGCTCCCAATAATATGCCTTTCTTTTAAAATTTTTGTATTGGTATCTGTTTGCAATACAAAATGATTATATTCCTTGTGGGGAGTACTGTGCCTTTCACCCCACAGAAAGCCACTTCATTAGCAATTATCTCTGGCTCCTACAAACAGAATCCTAAAGTGAAAACAGTTTAAACAGGATAGAGGCTTATTTTTTTCACAAATAAAGTAAATCAGGGAGTAGAAAGTGTTGAGCTGGTTTGTCCAAACCTCCTTTTTTTTCCAACATTCCCAACATTGATTTCCATCCTCAAGTGGTCACATGATTGTTGAAGCTCCAGCCATTGTGTTTATGACCTAGGTAGGAAGAAGAATAAAAGGAGGAAGGCAGAAAGAGCAAAGCCACTAAGTAGATAAATAAACTTCCTTTAGGAGTATTCCTGGAAGTCTCAACAAACCACTCTATATTTCATTGGCTATTCCTGTCCTCAAGGCAGGCCTGGGAGTGTCATATTTTAGTTAGAAGCATTGCTGTCTCTATTAACTTGAGTTCTGAGGTGAGAAATAGGAGTAAAAGGACAATAGGTGACAGCTAGGCATCCCCATCACATCTTTCGCTCACTGACAATGTCTGGGGAGCCTGCCATGGCTCTAAATGCAGATTCAGTGTGCAGGTCCTAAAGAGAAGTAGCGCTTTCTGGTTCCTTGGCTCAGAGTCTATGGGCATCCATTTTGGGCTGCTACTGCATGCAAGGGAGCAGAAGGAAGCCTCATCAGTGATCTGCTCTGCCTAGATCCTGGTGCTAAACCAATCTGGGGACAGCAGAACCACCTGAGGGTAAAGGCTCAAAACCTAAAAACCTGCCTGAGTCTCTAGTGTGAGAAATCAAGATGAGGGTGGGTTAGCTTCTCACATTTGACATGAGTCATTCCCAAGCACATGTATGGTCTTCAGGGTTTGTGCCAACCTTGAGGGCAGTTCTGTTGTATCTCACAAACATATATTTCACATGCTATGTTTCTCGTGTTGTGTACCCAGGATGCAAGATGAAGCCAACAAGCTCCCTTCCTTGGCGAGCTAACAGTGGGCAAAATGTGTGTGTGTGTGTGTGTGTGTGCGCGCGCGCGCATGTGCATCGGGGATACGGAAGCCATGTACTCTAAAGCAGTCAGTGTGCTGTGGAAGAGCTGCACCCTGCACTGTGGTGTTGGGCCTCCCCTGCCCAGGACAGCCAGCTCAGTGCCATACCTTGGAAATGCTCAGTTAATGGTTGTATTTTGACTTGTAATTCTTCCTTGTAGTGCTCAGAAAAGAATCTGCTCTTTTCTGAGCTGAGTGTTTTTGAGGCTGAGGGGTTACAGTAGCTTCTGTTGCTGAATGCTCTGTTTCCCCTTCCATTTCATCCGGTCAGACCCTAGGAAAAGTTCCTAAAATAGGAGATATATTTTTACTTGTAACCTTGCAGAACTCCTTGGGTGGAAGCTATGCTAAACTCTTTGACCTGGGAAATATCCAGAAATATGCAAAGATAATAAAATAAACTCTGTCCTTGGAATTTTTTTCCCCTTAGCTTCAAAATCCCTCCAGAAAGGCCAATTTGACAGCAATTTTCAGTTTTAATGAAATGTTTGTGCCTTTTGGCCTAGCAATTCCTCTTCTAAGTATTTATACCAAGAAAATAATTAAGGTTAAACAGTGCACAAAGATAACAAAATAAAGCCAGGCATGGTGGTGCACATCTGTGATGCCACTACTCAGGAGGCTAAGGCAAGAGGATCACTACGAGTTCTAGGCCAGCCTGGGCTACATAGTGGGACTCTGTCTCAAAAAACAAAACAAAAAAACCACCAAAATAAGAATGTTTGTTAAAACTGGTTTATAATAAAAATTGGAAACCACCTAGACGTGATGGTTTACGATGTACTGTAACCACTAATAGCAGACCAATGACTAAATATGGTACATTCCATACAATAACTCATTGCATATATTGGAAGTAATTCATTTAACTATTGTTTACTGATTGTCTGCTACGTGCCAGGAGCATGTAGTGAGACTCTGTCTCAAAAAAAACCAAAAAGCCTCACAAACCACATAAAATGAGACTGTTGTATTGAACAAGATGGGTGGGCACAGCTGGGCATGGTGGCACATGCCTGTGATTGCAGCATTTGGAGGCTAGAGCAGGAGGATCCTGAGTTTGAGGCCATCCTATGCTACATAGGGAGCTTCTGCCTCAAAAATTAAAAAATAAAAATAGAGATGTAGTAATGAGACAACTATTTTCTTTTTCCCACATTTATTTCAAGTCCACCTTTGAGATGTGCTTCTTTCTGCCCCCATGAACTCTTGGGCAGATCTCAAAACTGTTGGTCCCTTTGTCAGTTGAGCTTTCAAACTGAGCTAAGTGGACACCAGTCCTGACTTCTTTCAGCTGAAAGGGAATTTTCCCCTCAGGCCACCCTGCACAAGCCTGCATGCTTGAAAGTGGGGCCATAGGGCTCCTGGAGGCTACCTCTCCTCCCCACCTGCTCCTTTTTCTTGGGCCTCTGACCCCTGGAGGTGGGACCCTGTGGCAGGGACTTAGTGGGGAAGGATACCCTCACCCCCACAGTCCCAAGCCACCGTTGGTTCCCGAAGGGGTGGCAGTTGTGCCTTTGCAGGTTTTTTCTCTGGCTGTGCTCTTACAAGTTGCTCCCAAGACTCTCAGACAAGGTTGCTATCTCCTCTCTGGCCGGAAGCTTCCAGTTCTTCCCTCACCTTGGGGTCTCCAGGGTCTCCTTCACTCCTACCTTCCCTTGGGGCCCTCCCCACTCCCACTCAAGCATTCCTCAGCCCAAATCTCCTATTTAAAAAACAGTAAGGACACACACAACACATCCCTGCCTGCAAATGACTTCCTCTCCAGTCTGTCACCTGTAGGCTTCTTTTGTTGAAAAGCAGACGGCAGTCCTCCAACTCTAGCCCCCCCCTCCCCAGTCTCTGGCTGTCCCCTCGCTGGCTGGGGAAGAAAGCATGCTCTCCCCATCCATGTCCTTGCTAACTCCCACCCTGTCTTTGTCTCTACAGGCTGCTGAGCACTTGCAGACCTGGGTTTATCATCTCTAGACCTGCTCTGGAGACTGCAGAGGGTGCAGAGCTCATCAATTCAGGCAGAAGTCAGTAGAAATCAAGGTGTTGGCAGCATTGCTGGGTGGCTTACAGAGGCCCTGGGGGAGAATTGTTTCCTGGCCCCTTCTAGAAGCTGTCCTGCCTCTTGGCTTATGGCTCCTTCCGTCCTTAGGCCACACATGGCAGGTTGAGTCTCCTGTTATATCCCTGTGCCACATGTCTTCACTCTCTTGTCTCCCTCGCCCACCTTTAAAGACTCTATGATTACATACCACCCACCTAGATAATCTAGGAAAATCTCTTCACTTAATCCATCTGCTACCTCATTCCCCTTACCATGAACAGAAGCAGACTCTCCGGTTCCGGAATTCTAACGAGGCTGGCCGGCTGTCAAGGGGGCTCGTTCTTGTGCCTGTCACACCCATGTTTCATGACACACTTGGAGTCTCTGAATCACCAGTCAGACTCTTTGCTTGTCTCTATGAAAAACTGGCCAAAGAATTTCTTCAGTAAGGAAAGATTATTGATATTAGTTTTAATCATTACTTCAGAATTCCAAAGTCTACATATACGTTAGGTATCTCATTACTCATAATCCCAACAATCAACCATTTCCATCCAACCAACTCTTTTTTTTTTTTTTTGGTACCAGGGATTGAATTCAGGTCCTTCTACTTATGAGGCAGGCGCTGGAACCACTGAGCTAAATCCCTGGCCCAAGCCAACCAACTCTTCAGCTTCATTTTTAAACTTTTATTCAGCAAATTCCCAATAAAGTGAAATAATTCCATTCTGTTTTTCAGTGATTGATTAAGGCAGCTTTAAACATGTCCACAAAATAAGCCAAATTATGAGTCTACTTATTTCACTGTGATCATTCATAACTCCCTGAATTGTCCAGGGTTCTGTTGTAAGAAATAGAATCCTTTCTAATGGCTTAAACAAAAAGATATGTAATGGCTTAAAGTTACTAGAAAATCTGAAGAAACAAGATGTGTGAGGAAGAACTCCAAGAATATGGTTCAGAAGTGCGCCATCAAATGAGCTATTTCCTTTTCCTTTCTGTGCCCCACAGACGAAGGAATCAAAAGAGAGAAAGAAAAGCCAGTGCAGTGGTGCACGCCTGTAATCCCAGCATTCGGGAGCCTGAGGCAGGAGGATCGCCTAGATGTGAGTCCAGCCTGGATTATGTAGTGAGTTCAAGGCCAGCCTGAACTACCTAATAAGTCCCTGTCTCAAAAAACCAAAGAAGAGAGAGAGCCAACAATATGAGTATAATGAAAATAGTGGAAATAAGTTATATTTGATCTCAAATGTTAAGAGCAGGAGAGATAAGAAATCTTAACCGAATAGTTTTCAATTTATCTACCTAGGTACAAGTTTACTTTTCTATCTACTTGCCTATTTATCACCTACATATTATTTACAAAGGTGGTTCCCCCTATACTCAGTGCAAAACTTCACAGTCAGAATTAATTACATAAAGTACCTACCTGTCAACCTCATACCCCAGAGATAACTTCTTTTAATAATTTGTTATGAATCACTTAGACTTCTTCATGTATAAACAGATTTTAAGTCATTTGTTAAATTTATACAGGTGAGTTCTGCACCTTCTGTTCTATAATCTCCCATTGTACTTAACAATAAATTGTGGATTTTTACGTCAATATTTCATATATCCTAATACTTTACATGTATACATATCCATGTACACCTATTGATAATTTTGTAGTATTTTATTATAATCTATACAATTTATCTTAACATTCCCAACTGATGAACTTTTCCAAATTTTCTCTATTATAAGCTCTGTTGTAATGATTTACTTACTTTCTCCTTTATGTTATTTGTTCTTCTTTCTACCTTCTTTCGTTTATTTAACCTTTCACATTTATTAACAAAAGCATTCAACTTTATGACTTTTTCCAACACATTTATTTATTTATACTGGGGATTGAATCCAGGATCCTGATCCTGAGCAACACTGAGCAACATCCCAGCTCTTATTTATTTCTACTTTGAGACAGGTACTTGATAAGATGCTAAATTGCCCAGCTGACCTCACTGAGCTCAAACTTGCTGATCCTCCTGCCTCAGCCTCCCAGAGTGCTATGCCACTATGCCTAGCTTGTTTATTAATGTCTTGTTTATTAGTTATCTGTCATTTCACTTTTGATATCCTCTTTGAAAGATTTGAATTAATATTTCCAAGTGATTTAATTTGGTGAGAGGGAAAGTTGCCTTTTCCTTCTGTTATTTTACTGTGGTCAGAGAGTATAATTTTTGTTTTTCAAATATCTGTTTAACAAGGATAATCCAGGCATGGTGGTATATACCTGTAATCCCAGCACTCTGAGAGGCTGAGGCAGGAGGATGGTAAATTCAAGGTCAACCTGGGCTACACAATGAGCTCAAGTCCTGCCTGGAATATAGTGAAGGAGACCCTGTCTCAAAACAAAAAAATGGGAAAAAAACCCCAAGGATATATATATATATTTTTTCCAATGATATATATTTTTGTTAGATATGTAATCTTACACATATCTATTTATCCAAGCTTACTGAGTACACATAATTTAAACTCAATTATTTTGTTCTATGTGTCTATAAATTCTGAAGGCAGTTTATAAGAATTTCCACAGTAACTGATTTTTGTCAAGTTTTCTACCTATTTCTACTGACTTTTGCTTTACTTATTTTGTCCATAAAAATTCACAACTATTATGACATCTCGGTGTATACCACTTTTGTTGAACAAAATATCTCTCCATATCCTATTGTCTCAGATTCTGTCTTGTTTAATATTAACTACAATAACCACTTTATTTTCTTGATTAACATATTTGCCTAGCCTGCTGTTTTAGTGTTGTTTTGGTTTGGTTTGGTTTTGGTGTTTTGAGACAGGCCTTGCTATATAGTCCTGGCTGGCCTTAAACTTACAGCAACCCTCCTGCCTCAGCCTCCCCAGTGCTGGTATTACAGGCATGCACTCCACACCCAGCCAATTTTGTTTATAGTCTTGTTTAACAGCATACCTAAATTTTGCCCTTTAAAGAAATCATTTGAAAGTCTACTTGGGGCTATAACAAATTCAGATTTCTTGTAGTGCTTCTGATGCATTCTAAGTTTCTGTGTGGGGTCTCCCTGTGTGTGGGGGTCTTCTGTCTAACTTGTAGGAGAAATAACAATGCACAGTTTGGGCTCATAGCATGCTGAGTTCATCTAATCCAGTCTGCTCCTTGACAAAGAAACACAGGTGTCTGGTTGCACCACTCATCGGCAAAGCTTGGACTGGCAGCTGAATTTGAGCACAAGACTATAATGTCTCAGACAATTCATGGAAGTCTTAATAGGATCAAATGAAATCAGCTGTAATCAGTATCATCTTTTTTCCTCCACTGCACAGTTCATAGCACTATCTGGCACTTGATTATGTTTAACACCACTGCAAGTTTCAAAACAGAGTATAGTTGGGCGTGGTAGCACACACCTGTAGTCTCAGCACTCTAAGAGGCTGAGGAAGGAGGATTGTAAGTTCATGTCCAGCCTGGACAACTCAGTGACTTAGGAAACCTTGTCTCAAAAATAAAAAGTAAAAAAGAGCTGGGAATGTAGCTCAGTGTGAAGGCCCTGAGTTCAATACCTAGTACCACAAACAAACAGATAAATGACTAGAAGTAAGAATAGAATAAAAATAAATGGGGCTGGGGATGTAGCTCAGTGGCACCGTGCCTGGCTGGTAAATGCAAGGTCCTGAGTTCGATTCCTAGTACCAAAAGAAAGAAAGAAAGAACAAAAGCTATATTTTAAAAAATAATAAATAAATAAATTAAAACCCATACAAACAGTGTCCAACTGTTTCCCCAGGGTGACGCAGATACTGCCAAAGACATGTAGATAAATAGCTTTTAGATATTTAATATATTAACATTTAAAAAATATTAATAATTATATATTTATTTTAATGTACACGAGGAAAAATATGTATTTGGTACACCCATTAGGGGATATTACAACTTAGAAAAACACTAAAATAAAAAGTGGATCAATTTAAAGAAACAGTACAAATAAGAGTCACTATGAAAAACGAATGGCTGAAGTTTGTGAAAATTGATTTTAGGATACAGAAGACTTAGGACACACAGGAAACTAGCATAAGATACAGTTTCATATCCTAAAATGACCACTTGAGAGGATTAAATAAAATATGTGAAATGTCCAGCACAGTAAATTTTGTGTTGTTTAATTTATCTTGTGTTAGTGCTGTCTCCTTAAGTAGACTGTAAAAACTTTCACTGACAGAAAAAAAAAATGTAGACTTTGCAAAGTAAAAATCACCAATGATATGTGATTTTTATATTCCAGGAGAAACACAGCCCCAATGAACCAACCACAGCAGGTTTATTTCTGAACTGGATCTGAGTTTTGTTTTTTCAACCTCATTAGGAGAGGTTTAATGATACAGATAAGGCATACAGCAAGGTTGACAGAAATGATCTTTGCTCTCCACATGATTACAATCTAAATTAGTCTCCACATTGGCCCAATTGTAGGCAAAACTAGCTATACTGCTAAGTAGGTGAGCGAATCCCTTAGTTATCGGGGCTTAGTTTCCTCAGCTGCAAAATGAGCATTGTACCTGATGACCTGGGAGGTTTCTGACAACTCTAGTGTATTATATAACACTCTCTTGTTGGATCTCTTCCAAGTAAATGCCATTAGTTCATTAATAAATCGAAGAATTCCTTCATGCAAAGAGGCGTGCATTTCCCAAGTGCCAGGCACCATTATAAGACACAGGGTGATCCCTGTCCTCAGGGAGCTCTTTTCACAGTGTCTGCCAATTGCATCATGATCTGGAAACAAGGAAGTCATTACACTGTGGAGCTGTTTAGGGGCAGAAAATAACATTACACAATAGATATTAGTTTCATCAGCTGTTTAGAGACAGAAAATAACATTAAACAATAGATCTTTAAAAAAAAATCTTAGTTTCATGAGACAAAGCCTAAAAGGCACCCCCCACCCAGCGCAGAAAAAAAAAACCCTAACAAAAAACCCAGAACAATCTGAATGAGGTGATTCTGGAAATCCACTTAGAAAATGAGATCACCAGTTCTGTTCAGCCCTGGGCTAAATCCTATAGCAGAGTCATGTGAAAGAGGAGAGATAATCTTGCAACACTTTTGACTACTTGGAAAAATAAGATGAACTTGCAAGGCCCTTATACAAGGTCCCATGCACCAACTCTGCGCAAGTGAGGAGAAAGCACTGCCTGTGGCAGACGGAGGACAAAATGGCTGCCCACTGGGGCAACAAGTCAGACCAAGAGGCCTCCTCCAGGTTCCCCGCCCAGGCTGGAGTGGAGTGAGGGGCACAGAGTTGATTCAGCTCTGCACCCTCTGAAAGAGCACTGTGAGTAGACCACATGCCTGTATGACAGCCTGGCCTACAGCAGCCACTGAATAACAATTCTACACAGACTGTGGAGATGCTCCTGGGGCTCATACCATGACTCTTGTGAAAAAGAGGTTTAAAAAATTTCTAACTTCACCTGTCTTTTCAAACTGAGTGATG